AATTTCTGATCAACACATTCCATGTAAGGGCGAAATAAAGCTTCTGAGACGATGTGGCGGTGGATACCCGTCGAGCGTTAAATATTCATAATGCGACAGGCTCATAAAATGGACAGGAATTTCCGATCAACACATCCCATGTAAGTGAAAATAACCTTCTAAGACGATGTGGCGGTGGATACCCGTCGAGCGTCGTCGCCCGGAATATTGACTCCTACGCATATCAATGTCCTTTTTTCTATTTTGTCGAGGGTATGATTTCTAACAAATATCATAAAATAAAACAATTTCACTTGTTATTAATGATATATGCTATATCGTGCAATACATTATTATTACATTCCAGTAAAAGATGTAAATTAGGAAAGTCAAGCTAACATATTGTTTCGCACGCTCCAAACGTGAAGCTCACACCGGACGCAGCAGATGCGTGTCCACATTCTGACTGGCCCAGTCAACCGAGCGGGCCTCCGATTCCGTTTCCGCCTCCGTCGGGTGAACCGGAGGGTGCCGCAGGGGCGCTGCAATCGGGGGCTGCGGCCCAGTTCCTCAGTCGCCGGGCGCCGCAGGCCAGCGCTAATGCGGACAGTTTGCCCTACGTAATATTGGCTTTACAATTCTGAAGAAAACCGGTAATAAATAGATACTAAAAGTGTAAATAAGGTTGGCTTTATCTAAAAAATAATCACCCAATTATCGTTACAATACAGATACACGGAATAGGAAACTAATAAACAAGATGACGCTCTTCATCTTTAATTTTTTTATTCAATCACATACTATACAAATAAAGTAAGAAAACAAAGCATCTTCAAACACATGAAATTTCTTAAACAACGTATCCGAATATTACCTGTATCAAAATTCTCGATCATCACAAAGTGTCAGTGTCCCAAGATACTGATGTGCGATCTCAACCATGGTCCCTTCCTCGTTGGATGATGAGAGTAGCAGAGATGAAAGAACATACCCCCTTGTTTTGCCTTTTGAGACAAGCAGCGCAATGGTTTTCCTCCTTTCACATTCACTTCAAAAGTATCTTACAGCGGTGGTCCTCACATTAACGGATATCATTTCGAAATGTCATAGTACCACAGAACGCAGCGTGTTCTAGTTCTGGCGGATGCATCCCGTTTATTCTAAGAAATACTGACAATTTATGTGTACAAAATCTCAACAAGTTCAAGAGATCTGCATCGCATTATCTTGTTTCGATGCGATGTACGACGAGCTTCATCAGGATGTATTGCAAAATGCAGCAAAAGTGCTTTCAAACTAGTGGTGCTACTATAAATATGTGCAGCCACGAATTTGCAGCGTAGTGCATTGGCGCTAATGCCTTTGACTGTTCGACGTCATGTTCTGCCTCCATTAGCAGAGTTCTGCCCCTTTGTCTACTGCATTACGATCAGCCTCGCTTACGAGGAGCTCTCTAATCTGGTGATGACCAAACTGAATAGCATAATAGAGAGCAGTCCTGTGGTCGTTGTCCCTTTGATTGATGTTTGCGCCTTGTTGTAAGAGGAGCTTCGTGGATAGAACATCACCATTCTCTGCTGCCTCCAATAGTGGAGTTCTTCCATTTTTGTCTACTGCATTAGGGTCAGCATTGCTTTCGAGGAGGAACTTTGTAATCTGGGGATGATCCCACTCAGTAGGACAATAGAGAGCAATCCAGAGGTAGTATTGCCATTGATTGATGTCGGCGCCATATAGTAAGGGGAGCTCCGAGGGTTTCGCATCATCCTTTTGTGCTGCCTCCATTACAGGAGTTCTGCCCTCTTTGTCTACTGCATTAGAATCAGCTTTGCTTTCGAGGAGGAGCTTCGTAATCTGGTGATGATGCCGGAGAGGAGCATAATGGAGCGCAGTCCTGTGGTCGTTGTCCCTTTGATTGATGTCGGCGCCATGTCGTAAGAGGAGCTCCGTGGATTGCGCATCACCATTCTCTGCTGCCTCCATTAGCGGAGTTCTTCCATTTTTGTCTACTGCATTAGGGTCAGCTTTGCTTTCCAGGAGGAACTTTGTAATCTGGGGATGACCCCCCTGAGTAGTACATAAGACAGCAGACCAGAGTTTACTGTTCCATTGATTGATGTCGGCGCCATGTTGTAAGACGAGCTCCGAGGATTGCGCATCATCCTTTTGTGCTGCCTCCATTACGGGAGTTCTGCCCTCTTTGTCTACTGCATTACGATCAGCTTTTATTTCGAGGAGGAGCTTCGTTATCAGGTGATGATGCCGAAGGGGAGCATAATGGAGCGCTGTCCTGTGGTCGTTGTCCCTTAGATTGACGTCGGCACCTTGTTGTAAGAGGAGCTCCGTGGATCGCGCATCACTATTCTCTGCTGCCTTCATTAGCGGAGTTCTTCCCTTTTTGTCTACTGCATTAGGATGAGCCTTTCCTTCGAGGAGGAGCTTCGTAATCTGGGGATAAATTGGATGAGGAGCATAATGGAGCGCAGTCCTGTGGTCGTTGTCCCTTTGATTGATGTCCGCGCCATGTTGTAAGAGGAGCTCCGTGGATTGCGCATCACCATTCTCTGCTGCCTTCATTAGCGGAGTTTTGCCCTTTTTGTCTACTGCATTAGGATGAGCCTTTCTTTCGAGGAGGAGCTTCGTAATCTGGGGATAATCTCGATGAGGAGCATAATGGAGCGCAGTCCTGTGGTCGTTGTCCCTTTGATTGATGTCGACGCCATGTTGTAAGAGGAGCTCAATGGATTGCGCATCACCCTTTTGTGCTGCCTCCATTAACGGTGTTCTGCCTTTTTTGTCTACTGCATAAGGATCAGCTTTGCTTTCGAGGAGGAGCTTCGTAATCTGGTGATAATCCCGATGAGGAGCATAATGGAGCGCAGTCCTGTGGTCGTTGTCCCTTTGATTGATGTCGGCGCCATGTTGTAAGAGGAGCTCCGTGGTTTGCGCATCACCCTTCTCTGCTGCCATCATTAGGGGAGTTTTGCCTTCTTTGTCTACTGCTCCTGCATTAGGGTCAGCTTTGCATTCGAGGAGGAACTTTGTAATCTGGCAATGACCAAACTGAGTAGCATAATAGAGAGCAGTCCTGTGGTCGTTGTTCCTTTGATTGATGTCGGCGCCATGTTGTAAGAGGAGATCAATGGATTGCGCATCACCCTTTTGTGCTGCCTCCATTAGCGGAGTTCTTCCCTTTTTGTCTATTGCATTAGGGTCAGCTTTGCTTTCGAGGAGGAGCTTTGTAATCTGGATATGACCCCGAAAAGGGGCATAATGGAGCGCTGTCCTGTGGTCGTTGTCCCTTTGATTGATGTCGGCGCCATGTCGTAAGAGGAGCTCCGTGGATTGCGCATCACCCTTCTCTGCTGCCATCATTAGGGGAGTTTTGCCTTCTTTGTCTACTGCATTAGGATCAGCTTTTCTTTCGAAGAGGAGCTTCGTAATCTGCTGATCCCGAAGAGGAGCATAATGGAGCACAGTCCTGTGGTCGTTGTCCCTTTGATTGATGTCGCCTCCATGTTGTAAGAGGAGCTCAAAGGTTTGCGCATCACCCTTTTGTGCTGCCTCCATTAGCGGAGTTGTGCCCTCTTTGTCTACTGCATTGGGATCAGCTTTGCTTTCGAGGAGGAGCTTTGTAATCTGGCGATGACCAAACAGAGTAGCATAATAAAGAGCAGTCCTGTGGTAGTTGTTCCTTTGATTGATGTCGGCGCCATGTTGTAAGAGGAGCTCAATGGATTGCGCATCACCCTTTTGTGCTGCATCCATTAGCGGAGTTCTGCCCTCTTTGTCTACTGCATTAGGATCAGCTTTGCTTTCGAGAAGGAGCTTCGTAATCTGGTGATGCCGAAGAGGAGCATAATGGAGCGCAGTCCTGTGGTCGTTGTCCCTTAGATTGATATCGGCGCCATGACGTAAGAGGAGCTCCGTGGTTTGCGCATCACCATTCTCTGCTGCCTCCATTAGCGGAGTTCTTCCCCTTTTGTCTACTGCATTAGGATGAGCTTTGCTTTCGAGGAGGAGCTTCGTAATCTGGAGATAACCCCAAAAAGGAGTATAATGGAGCGCAGTCCTATGGTAGTTGTCCCTATGATTGATGTCCGCGCCATGTTGTAAGAGGAGTTCAATGGATTGCGCATCACCCTTTTTTGCTGCCTCCATTAGCGGAGTTTTGCCCTCTTTGTCTACTGCATTAGGATGAGCTTTTCTTTCGAGGAGGAGCTTCGTAATCTGGTGATAATCCCGATG